TACTGGTAAATCGTAAGAGCCAGTATTGTATAATTTCGTTTTAAGAAAAATGCATCAAACCTTACCTCGACCAAAGTTTATTTTTTGCATTTTTCCAACATTTGTCAGTTGGTATATGTCTCTTCCAATTTTTATTCCCAACCCTGTTTGGTCTCCATTCTCCAAAAATTCAATTTTTTTCTTTCTTATTTTCAACCACACATTTTTCAATAAAAAAATATTACACATAAAATCAAAACTTTTTCTTATTTTTTAACCACACATTTTCCAAAATATTACTATTCAAAAATGTATTTTCTCCACAAATACATTTTAAATGGACCCCAAACAAGGGCATATTATTTACAAATTAATTTACATTACAGGGATGAATAACAATTTAAGGAAGGTGAAGTCATGACAACTCTTGAAACCTGTTTCTATTATTTAATTTTGAAATCAGCAATATTTTTCAACAATCTATAATAAAGAAAGCGAGGCAGACAGGCTAAGATTCAATTTGAAGTTTGATGTTGCACTATTTTCAACTATTATAGTACTTGTTCATATTATTTTATGGTAAAATCAAATTGTATTTACTACGTCGAAACTCAATGAGTGTCTTCAACTTAGATTTTGATGGAATTTAAAAGATTATAAATTTTAACGAATTTCGTGAATCTGAATAGATTTTCACAAAATTCATAAAAATCTCATTGAAAATTGTTAAATTTCAAAAGAATTTATTATGTGTATTTTTAAGCATGAAATACATCCAAATCTTTTAAAATTTCTCTATTAAATGCAATCATTTTAAAAGTATGTGAGTCATTGAGAATACTTAAATTTTAAAGGATTTCATTGAAATTTATCAAAATCTAAGTTGGGGACACCTATATTTTAGTTGATTTTCATTCAAATCCATTAAAATCTCAATTGTGAATACATGACTTTAGAACGATTTTTTAAATTTATCAAAATCTCAGTCGAGGATACTTAGCTCCTATTTGATTCCTATTATTCCAAAACTCATTTTTTTTCACAAACTTATTTTAAATCACACATTCTCAGAATAAAATAATATTGTGCACGTAAGCCAAAAAAATTTCTTACTTTTCAATCGTACTTTCTTCAAAAATTCACTAGTACAAAACTTATATTGATAAAATTATGAGCATTAAAGAGGACTTAGCAAGAAAATAAAACATTTTCACTAAGCCCCTGTTTAATACAAATTAAAATTCAGGTTATAATTTAAATCAAAATCAATAATTAATTTTAACTATTCATAATCGCTCACTGCAGCAGTCTCCCTATGTGACACACACATGTCATGTAGTTATTTGATACATTAATGTGGTAGTTTTTTTTACCACATTAATACATTAAATACACACTTGACATGTGTGTGTCACATTTGGCAACTGCTGCCGTGAGCGACTGCAAATAATATTATTCTTTATGGAATCCACAACTTGCTAATCACATATTTCATCAAATTTTATAAAAATTTACTAAATTTCTGATTTTAATCCCACCAAACGGGAGCTAAGCTTTAATTTGATCATTGAAAGGGTCAAGCAGTGATATTTACGGGTAGGAAAGTTAATGACTTGAAAGTGAAGGGCAGTTGTACGGCCAAGACTGGCTTAAAGTCATGTTGTGAATTTGAATTGATTGGTAACTCCAAGTCAAGCTGTGAGTTGATCATTAAAGGAAGCCGGAAAATTTAGGCCAAACAGCGTGTCATTTTCGTGCTTTGCATCGGGTCTTTGCGGGGATCCAATGCACACCACTTATCTGCCTGCACAAGGACAGGCGCGTATGACATTTCAAATACAAAGTATCTGAAAAGGACAACAAAGATAGTAATTGAAGAGCCTCCAAGTTTATGATTAGGCAAATGGTGACATGAAGTATAAAAACATGCTCATAAGATATAAAGTTGATCATTTTGAACTCCTTAACTCCTAGTCTTCTCAATTGGTTAGGTCTTCTGAACTAAATTGTTGGAGGTCAAGTTGTACACCCCCTCTGAAGTTTGTAATGTTTAATTAGTATTTTTGTATTAACAAATATTCTACTCGCATTGTAGTTTGATTAAAAAAGGATAGACGGGTCCATGTCATAGATAGAAGGCAAATAGCTTTTGATTTTCTAAAAGAATAAAATAAACGAAAAAAGACTTGCGAGTAAATCGAGTCACGAGTAATGCTTTTTAATAATGCTCTCTTGTTGTTCATTTGGTGGGATCCATATCTTATTCACATGATTAACAAACTGCCACACGTATTAAAACAGGCTAATAAAGTGGGATTCAAAATCATA